TTAAGCGTGAAGTTTTCTTTTATCCTGATATCAAGTTATGCTTGAGCTGTGCATTGACAGATGATAAAAAATAAAACAAAAAATAAGAGAGAAAAATAAAAACTATGCATTGTCACTTCTTCCAAGCTGATCTAATAGTAGGGAGAAAGGAAGTGGTCAATGGATATATATGGAAGGAGGAAAAGGTCAGGAAGAGCATCGAACTTGGGAAATAAAAAAAATAGGATCCTTTTTAAGCAGGTTTTGCAAAAGGGCGATAAAGATTAGTGAACTTGAGAACCAAAAAAATTAGATCATTTTTTTGTAACTTTGATATGTTATGAACTCGATTTTCATTTCAAGAGATTTAAAATTTGCTTATAATTAAATTTTAGAATTCAAGAGCATAAATAAATTTATTTTTTAACGATGTTTTCAAAATATTTTTAAAAATTACAAAGGTAGAAACCAAGTCTTAAAATTTTCATACTTATTTATTAATAAAATATGCTTCAAAGTTTATGAATAGCTAAATCTTCATTTTTATTTTATTTTTTACGAATGAAACTTTTGTTTCTTTTTAAGAATTTTGGGGAGATTTGGCTTATTATTTCCCAATATTTATTATATTTTATTTATAAATCCCTATTCTTTGGAATTATTTTTAAAAACTCCTAAGAAATTACATATTTTTAATTATAAATTTTATGACTTTAAATTATATTTTAACTTTTTAAGTATACGATCAATACTAATACTTCATATTAGTTAACAATATAAGTGTCTTTTTCCATGGCAGTATAAAGGTGAGGCTTTACTTAGAGAGAGGGAAGAGGATTATCCTTTTCTAAACAATACTTAAACTAGATGCCAATGTTGGTGGTAAAAAACAATATATCCATAGAATGAGGGTAGCGGAGATGATGATGTTTAGATGGATGAGTGACAAGATAATAATGGATAGAATTAGAAAATGAATACATTCGGAAAAATTTAGGTGTGGCACCAATTGGCAATAAAATGAGATAGATAGTAGACTTAGGTGAGTTGATCATGTGTGGTGCAGACCCAATATAATACTTGTTAAGAAATGCGAGTTAGTTCAAGTAGAAAATTAAAAAAAAAGACAAGCGGTAGAGCCAAAAAGGTTATAGTTGAAAATAGTGAAAAAAGATATAGGGGTTTATAGCATTACTGAGAGCATGACTCTTAATAGACTAGAATGACAGATCTAGATTTGTATAACTAACTCTAATTAATTGAAAAAAAACTTTGACATTGATGACCTAAATTATAAAGCAAATATGGCTCCAAATATAAACTCTGCTTGGGATCGGTGGTATAATTTCTAGTTCCTTGTACGAGAACCTTTTATCTTGGGTAGATCAATAAAGAAGGGACCTCGGCATGTTGCGGTACCCATACCCAATATTCACTGTCATTGAGTTCAAATTTCTCTCTTAAACTAACCTAATCTATATATAAAAGATCTTGGATTACATTATATGCTCTCTCCACGTCTTTTTATTTAAGTTTTTCTACTCCTTTAAAGCCTAGTAAGTTCCAATCGTTAACTCTCCCTTCTTTATCTTTACATGTACAATTCTCTCTCTCAATTTTCCTTGCACTATTAAAGATAATAAAGATTGGGAAAAGTTTATATAGGGTTCCAACCTTAAAAAATGTAGAATCACATATGCATCTCAAAAATCTATCGAAAATGTTGTTTTATGTTTAAAAAACACTCTAATCGATTATGAATATAAAAAAATATCGAGATAATCGATTAGAGTGTTTTTTAAATATTAAAACAACATTTCCGATAGATTTTTGAGCGGCATATGTGATTCTACATTTTTTTTAAAAAAAAAAATTTAAAAAAAAAGGTTTTTGAGTCCCGAAAATAGTGCATCTTGCAACACGTTATCTAAACCGTCCATTTTTCAAGATTTTTCATATATTTATAGATCTACTTAATTCTAACGATTTTAGAAATTTAAAACTTTCTAATTATGTATGGAAATAGATTTTAAGATAATACTGATAATTTTTTACAACAAAATTACATGGTTTGATAAAATTTTAAAGTGCTCCTTAATTGGATTGTTTAAGGTTACAACCTTATAGCAACCGCACCCATTAAGATTACCCCTTCCTCTTTCTGCTTTCTGCATTTGGCTACTAATAGTATAGGGCTGGCAACGGACCACGCCAGGGCAGATCCATCCTTGGCCGTGTTCCCTTGAGGGCCGGCCCATGCCTAGCCCTATTAAGGTAAGGTCAAGTAAAATAAAAAATAATAAAATAAACAAGGGCCGGGAGGGCCCGAACCGACCCTAGCCCTGGCCTGGCCCTTTAGGCGTAGTGGCCCCATAACTACATTTTGTGGCCCAAGCTGGGCGCATTGCCACCCTTTACTAATACTCCATAGCTAGAATTGTACTTTCTAAGTCTAGCACTCAAAAGTATGGGTGGCAATAGACCGGGAACCGTTGGGTATACCCGATATGGGTTTGGATATGGGCCCAACATTTGGACCCGGTGGGTCGGGCCTGGGTTCAAAACTTGGACCTGAATACCATTCGGGTCAGGGACCTACCCATCAACGGTTGGACATGAAATACTTCCAGTCATATTCATTTAGGTGTATTAAGGATCGTATACTACAAGAACTCGTAGTCCAACGGCTTGAAATCTAAACCTCGTTGCCAATAATATGGATACATGATGGTAAAAAAAAAGAAAAAAAGAAAGAAAAAAAAAGTTCATAGTGAGGGTGGTAATAGACCCGATCAGACTGGCAATGGACTCGACTAGACACGGCCGATGGGATAGACTGCGACCTGATGGGTATGCGCATTGATTAAACTTTTGTACTTGAGGATCGGGTATAGATCCAAAACTTGAACCTAAATACTATTTGAGTCTGAATCCAACCGTACCTGATCCGTACCCTACTTGTTGCCATCCCTAGTCAAAAGAAATAATCTCTCCTATGTCTACTATTCTCTCTCTACATTTCCTGATGAAGATAAAACGTCCTATCTTTTCACTCTCCTCTATGTGTCTACTCTTCCCCCTCTCTCTCTCTCTCGATTTTTCCTCTGCTCACGATATAACGAAGTCCTACCTATAACCCTCCTCTCTCTACGTCTACTTTTCTCTCTCTAAAATGTTAAAGATATAACGAAGTCCTTTGACTTATAAATCTCCTCTCTCTCTCCTACTAAGGCTCTAAACAACAAGATTAGAGCTTTCTTTCAAATAGTATCAAGAAATGTAGGTTCAATATTAGAAATATATGTGATAACCTTAAAATATACTTTCATCTTTATTTATAAAATTTAAATTTTAAAATAAGTGTAGATCGACAAATCTATGATAACTTTAAAATCTTGAAAATTGATGGTCCAAAAATGCGTTATAAAATGCACTATTTTCATAACTTAAAATCCATTTTTTTCTCATATTCATGCATCTTGATGTTGAGGTTATCATTTTGAACATAAAAAATGATGCTCAAATGATAATCTTGAACATCAAAACAACCTCTTATAGTGAAATTTTTGATGTAGGCTCTAATTTGATTGTTTAGAGCCTCGCCTCTATATAAACTTTTCCTTAAATTATAACAGGAAAGCTTTCTATGTTCCCTTAAAACATAGAAGTTATATCATTCTCCTATCATTTAGCCATCTATTTTTTATCATGAGAGCCACTCACAGTTTGATCTTAGATCCGACATCTCAAAGCATTTTATTTTAAATTTTTTTAATACAAATTTTTTGAATATAAAAATTGGTCTATGCATATTCTCATTGGGGCGCACTTATAAAAAATATTAACAATATTTTTTTGATAAAAAATAATGACCAAAATACCCTTTGAAACTTTAGGGGTATTTTGGTTATTTTATTTTACGAATAATATTTTTTTATATTTTTCATTAGTGCGAGTTTAATAGAGTTAATGGACATCCAAAATTTGGTGCTAAAATAGTGTATAGAAAAAAATTAAAAATAAAATAGTGTAAAGACATTACATTGTGATTGGGGCAATTTAACCCACCATTAAAAAAATGAACGGTTGGATAAAGGGGATGATAGAACTTCTATGTTGTAGGAAAACTTTCCCAATTATAACTCTGCTCACTCTATGTTTACTCTCTCTCTATATACATTCTCTCTTTATATATACATATTATTAATTTGGGTGCATTTTTGCATATGGATGCGTCCGTTACGTGTAGAGGTAAGGTGCACCTTCAAATTTTATCATGGTATATTAAAAATGGACGGTTGGATAAAAGGGAGGATAAAACTTCTATGTTGTAGGGAAACATAGGAAGCTTTCCCAATTATAACTCTTCTCACTCTATGTTTACTATCTCTCTATACATTTTCTCTCTATATACATATTATTAATTTGGGTGCACTTTGCATATTGATGCATCCGTAGGTGTAAAAGTAAGGTGCACCTTCAAATTTTATAGTGGTATATAATTTTGATGTAAAATCTTCTTAGGATTATCTTAAAATCGATTTTTATATCTCATTATAAAATTTTAAATAAAAATAGTTAAAATCAAGTAGATCTATACTTACGGATGCATATTATTAATTTGGGTGCACTTTGCATATGGATGCGGTATAGAGCTAAGATGCATCTTCAAAATTTATCATGGTATATAATTTTGATGTAAAATGTTTTTAAGATTATCTCAAAATTTATTTTTATATCTAATTATAAAAATTTAAATAAAAATAGTTAAAATCAAGTAAATTTAAATCTATAAAAATTTTAAAAATAGCTAGTGTAGATAATATGTCGTAAGGTGCAATATTTTTTTAGATTTATTTTTTTTTAATTTTTCGAGATGTTCAATGAAAAGGGTTTTTCAACTTTAAAATTACGTTTTCGGATGGATATTTTGAGGTGAGGGCATTCGGTGGTTCTACATTATAAGGTAGCATCCTTATGTAAACTTTTTCCTATTAATTTTCACTGTTGAAGATATATCTAAGCTCTAAATTATAAGGGAGAAGATCGTTAAATACGATACATGTATAAACTCAACACAGAACACCTCCCCAACTCTCCCTCTCTCTCTCCTCACTTTCTCTTTCGCCCCCTTTCATAACTCTATCTCAGGGCTCCCCATCAACACTTTCTATGGATCAACAAGCTTCAAACCCTAGGTTAGAGTTAGGGTTAGGGTTTCAGGGCGCATGTGCATGATAGTGACGCGTGAAACCATTGATTAAAGCACTCAAGATGTAAAACCCTAATTGGAATTTGGAAGGGATCCTGGTTCAGTGGGGTTTCATGGATCGATTGCAGATCCGAGAGCTTTTGCGTGGTGTTTACAGATGGAATTGCAGAGAGTTTGTTTGATAAGGGCTTCTTTGTTTATGAATTAGGGTTAGGGTTTCTTTTAGGGGTAGGATATGAAGGATCCTTTGGATCGAACTAAGGTAGTGGTGAGGCGCCTGCCTCCTGCTCTCACTCAACAGGCTTTAATGGAGAAGATTGACTCTCGCTTCTCTGGTCGCTATGAGTGGGCTGCTTTTAGGCCAGGAAAAAACAGGTATTTATAAGTTTTTGTGTCATTTTCGCTATATTTCTTGATATATATTATATCTGAATCTTTGTCTTTGTCGATGACTTTTGTAATTACCATGGGAATTACACAAACTTAAATAGGTTTTAGTCTCTCTCTTTCTCTCTCTCTGGAATGTTGGGTTTTTGCAGGAGTTGGATGTGTTTTTTCATATTATGTCTCTCTTTTAGTTTGGGAAGTAGAATTGATGTTTCTGAGGAGTTATCGGTGTTGAAATAATGCAAATTGATGATGTCTTTATTAGCCTTTTGTCCATTAGTTGTAGATGACATTTTTTATTTATTCTCATCACTCGTGTCTGTTTTTTCTATTTGGGGTGGATATTGTAGAGGCTTTCTCGTTCAATAGAAGAGGAAATTGTCCTCATTATGGTTGTTTAATTCAATTTTCCATTATAATTGGAGTGAACTTGGAATTTCTCATAAATATATTCTTGTGTTGTTTTTTTTTCCTGTTTATCTTCTTTCAATGTTCATAGATTGGGGATTGTTGTCTTGTGAAAGTTGGTTGACAAATTGTAATTATTTTGTTAGTTTTTCTCACATGGTATGGCTATAAGATGGGATATCGTCATATTGTTATGTTTGATTTGGACTATTGTTTTGTTATGTCTTTCAACATGGTATAATATATCAGAAATTAGTGGAATTTAGTGGGACTTATACCAATTGTGAAAATGTGAAGTTTTTTAATATATATTCCGCTGAATTTTGGAATATAAATTTGGCTTTTGAGTAATTCTTTCATATTTGATTTAAAGCATTCTCTGATTCTTTTATTTGCTTTGAAAGAAATATGATTTGACATTTATGAATTATGATAATGGTAGGAGTACTTGTAGTGGAATTAGTAGTAACTGGAGTTGAATTGTTATCTTTTTCATATTTATTTGGGGATAGACACTTCAACAACAGTATATTTATTACAAAGCTGAAAGTCAGTCCTACTAGTTTGGGAGGTTGTTTACATGGTGTGGTTTATTTCTCCCTGTTTTGGATAAAATTGACAATATCACTAAGCTTCAATTGCTGTACATATCAAGTATTCCAACAAGGAAGGGCACATATGATTAAGACGGATTTGTCTTCTACCTAGTCCACATCAACACCAAATAATTTTTTTGTTAGATCAGCAAAATTGTCTTAATGATTACTGCACAAGGGCTGTAGCACTAAGTGCAAGGTTCGGAGCCCAGCTAAGCCATTGACAACAGAAACAGCTTGTGTGGGTTTGTGTCAATGTGCTCTAGTTTGATTGACAAAATGGGGGATGCATTTTTCATCATTTGGAATTTTGTCATGGGAACAATTGGTTAATGTCTTTCTACTCAAGGCAATATTTGAGAAAACTGTCCATAAGCTTATGATGGAGACTTGCATCCAGTTGAGACCTTGTACATCCATCCGGTGTTTATGAAAGCATATCCAGAATAATCTACACATGCATGTTCATGTCCCTGCGTAACTTATTTTGGAAATCTCTTTCTGTTTTCTTTTATAATGCAATATAATTTTTTGTTAGTTGATGAATTTCATCCTGTTAAGTGAAAATGTTGGCAGCAATTATTCCAATTCTCTCAATACCTGTGTCCATTGTTGTCTCCTGCTGTGATTGTCTCTGTTGTTGTAGTCATGATTGTCCTTGTTACAGGTACCATCGCTACTGCCAATGTTGTTCAATAATATTTTGAAAGTTTCCAAAACATGTAATGTCTTCATGAAAAAGGATTAGTTGATAATATCATGAATTTAGTGTGTTGTAGGGGCTTTCATTTATCATGTTCTTGTACTTTAAGGGGTAATGCACCTACTTCTTTTCTTCTTTTTTTAAATTTTTTGTTGTGGGCATTAGGGATGATGGTATCTATTAGTTTCAAATAATGCTGGATGGTTGTATTTGGTGTTTTTTGGTTCCCCATTATGTGTTTTTTTTTTCTTTTCGGGGAAAAAATTATTGCACTTTGGGAATTCATCTGAGCGTAGACATTTGCAGCCCATCTTTTAGTGTCAATATGCAATCACCAAAAAGAGCAATGGAATTTCATGAGACCTTATGGTTTTTGTTGAGGAAATTTGATCGCAAGTCTCTTGCCTAATAGCACACAAAAAAATAATTTATTGGAGCCTTATCTAGATTTCTGTCCATTTGTTTTTGAAGCTTGAAGAATCAGCGGCACTCTCGGATCTATATTGATTTTAAAAGGCCAGAAGATGTTCTTGAGTTTGCAGAGTTCTTTGTTGGGCATGTATTTGTTAATGAGAAAGGTGATTTTTTAAGCATATATCATTGGCCATTGTGTAGCATAATTTTTGTATTTTTATTTAAATTATTTGATTTACACCTTTTATATATTAAATTGTTTGATTTGCTCGTTTAGGTTCCCAGTTTAAGGCTGTTGTGGAGTATGCACCATCACAGCGTGTTCCAAAGCCATGGTCTAAAAAAGATGGCCGTGAGGGGACTATTTTCAAAGGTAGTATTTTCTCAGCAAATCATTGTTGTGTTTTGCACGTGGATCATACCAGTTCTACATTCGATTATTGTAACATGTCACCGTGGCTCACATATCAGATGTCTTTAAATTTAATCACAAACAATTTTCTGGTGATTATAGATCCTGAATATCTTGAGTTCTTGGAGTTTCTTGCGAAACCTGCTGAGAATCTTCCTAGTGCTGAAATACAGTTGGAAAGAAGGGAAGCTGAGCGTGCTGGTTAGTTATAGTGTTTGAAGACATTTATTTATTGTGTTATTGGTATAATCATGTTGTAATTGACCTTCTTCTGTCCAGGTGCATCTAAGGAGAGCCTCATAGTTACACCTTTGATGGATTTCGTTCGCCAGAAACGAGCCGCAAAGAGTGGAACCCTGGTATTGAAAACTCTCCCAGTCTCCCTTGCATTCTACATTTGTGCCGAAATATTAACTAGTATCACAAACTAACAAAGCTTCGCAACCCCGTCAGACTCTACTTTTAAGATATCTTACCCATAATGACTAAGCTGACATTTCCTGTGATAATACCTTAAACTTAGACTGCTTGGACAGTGTATATGATATCCCACCAATTGACTTGCATGGATTCAGCTTATTCTCCTTTCCATTTCTAGAGCACCAGGGAATACTCTTTCCCTGTTTATGCATGCTTCTTTCATTTAAAATGAGCACTTGACATTGAATGATCTGCTACTACGAATTATATATCCCATGTGCTAAACTTTAGTCTATCAACATGAGGATTTGCCAAGTGATATTCAGCTTGGCAAATCATTTGCTCTTAGCCTCTTATATGCAGTTTGGCAAGTCCTTTGCTTTAAAGGTGAATTTTTTAGAGATGTTAGGAAGTTTCAAGGCTTATTATAGGATTATGAATAGATCTAGGAATGTTCAATACGTTCCTCTTCAATGAAAGGTGGGGCCCTCGTTATTCCCTTCCCATATTTGTATATCTTTTGACTGTTTAGGATGTCCCTTTTTTGAGAAAGTGGATGCCTCTTTCATTTAAAGTGAAAACTTCAGGGTAACATTGAATGTCTACTTCATATTTTATCCCTTATGCAAATGTAAAAGTTAGCCTTTCTAATCTGATGGTTTGCCAAACGATCTGCCTCTTGGCAGAGGGTATGCTCTGTGATTCACATGTGTGTGTGTGTGTGCGTAACCATAAATCAAAATCTAGGGAAGAAAGGTGAATTTGTTCAAGAGGTCATGAAGCTCTAGGACATATCTTAGGGTCATTAATACATCTAGTACTGTTCAACATATTTGCTTCACTGAAGGGTGTGGTGAAGATGATATTTGCCATTGTCATACATTGGACTGCCACTATCAATTCCATCCCAAATAAATGTGCAACTTCATCAAACTACATATAGAACCATTACACTATGTGGGCAATTGTTGAGAGTTGTGTTACATTTTTATGCCGTCAAGAAATGATTAAGGATCCTTAGTCAGGTCATTCCCACTGTTATTGTCCTCCTTATGTTTATTGTCTCTTCTTACTTGCATGTATACAACCAATACCTTTCCTATTTTGAACTATTTTGAACTATTTTGAACTTCTTTTATTGTATTCCTTCTAGATGTGCCAAGCTGCCCCAAGTATGCAGAAGTCCAAAAACCTTCTTCTAGTTTATGGGTCCACTTTCTTATTTTATATGTATTTCCTGTGTGTATTCGTAAAACCAAGGTTTCATAAAATTCCCTTACAAATTGAGTTGCTTGTAGTCACTTTGAGTTTTATGTACTATGTGTTGATCGTCTTGTCCTAATTGCATAAGATGCAACTGCAAAACTATGAGAAAATTAAATTGATGATTTTCTTCATCTTTTCAATTTCTTGCAAGGTTAAAATAGACTTCCATGAAGCATATTTTCAAAAGGCATCCACTGCTTTCCTCAAAAGGCATCCCAAATATAAAAGACACTGAGAAGCCAAAAGGACCCCAAGCGTACAAAAATAACATACAAAATTTCGGACCTGGAGCTCCTGCTTATAAGATTGGTCCTAATCTTACAAACACTTTGGGAGTAGCATATCAGTCCTGGTGATAGTATTATTTGGAAAGCTAGCAAAAATAAGCACCAGTTGGTGGAAGACAAGGAGAACACTTGGTTGGCTCTACAGTGAGCTCCACTCACATACTAAGTTTCAAATTCCACCTTATCAGCCATAGTACTCGTTGAGTTTTCCTTTTATCTCTTTAGCATTTGACATCCTGCAGTAGAACCTTGCACATTTTTCTTCACTATCTTTATTGTGAGATCCATTGTTTCTTCATCCGATAAATCTTCAGCCTTGCTCTTAAGCATTTCTCTCTACTAGCCATTGGTATAGACTAGAGATTCATTTGATTGTATGCCAGATCTGGTGGCCAACATTTGCATGCAGTCAATTGGTCCCAATGCCATGCATTACATGAATAATTTGGACGTATCTACGATATGCATCCTGACTCTGTTCTGATGAATTTTAGCAGAGATCATCAGCAAATGGAAAGACTAGCAGACGATCTACTGGAGTTTCATCCACCAGTCCAGGTTCAAATTCCCAGAAAAGAGGCCCAGAGAGGAGAAAAATATCAACTTCCATGGTATGCCATCTATTGCAAGCAATTCGTCTTCTCTTTGTATGGACTGATTTATGGATTTTTGTAGCTTGCAGTGAGGAATATTTAGAGTTTCCATGTGCAGTACTACAGAGATCAGCTTTTTCTGGATACTTGTATTATGTAGCATGAAATATCAACATTTTTTTTCGTTTGTGGATACCAATTTTGGAGTTGTTTTGTTTGTAATTTAGTTGCTATAAACTGTCAAGTTTGCCAAATGAGAATATCTTAGACTTGTTTATAAACTGTCAAGTTTGCAAAATTTAGTTGCTATAATGTTTACTTGCATGACCTCTACTTTCATAGTCATCAGTTGTGACAAAAGGCAACTGCTGGAATCCTAGGAGTAGGAGTTTGAAGTTTAGGAAACTATACTGCAACCTAATTGACTTGTCACTGTCCAATGAAGTGAACACTGATGGACATTAGGACCCACCAGAAGGTGCAAAACTGGATCTCACTGCAGTGGTGGGTCTCCTCTTTCTCCATCACCTTCCATCATTTTACTGGATGGATTGGACCCTGAGGATTATGAGTTTTCTATAGTACAATAGGTTTTTAGTGGTATAGTTTCCCTTCCAGTGGTTTGTACTCTTATTTGCTCTCTTTTAAGCCAATAAAAGTACCTTATAGTGTTGTTCTGGGTGTTATTCAAAGTTGTTTGTCTGCTTAGTGTGGAAAATTTATTATTTTTATTTGCCAATTTTTTCAACTTAGATAATCTTCCCTTTTGTACTTTGTGGAATTAGCTTTATCTATATTGACTCCAGATATTGGAATTTGATCTTTTCTCCTTACTCTCTTGTATGCTGTGCAGTATGTTCTAAGGGATAGTACAAAGGGCACCAGTAGCAAGGACAAATCTACTTATGGTTTAGTTCCTAGGAGGGATGAACAGAAGCTCCCAGACAACTCCTCTGCTGTATCAGCACTTGCTGGACCAGAAGCATTAGATGATGAATCTGGTAGGTTCTTCTGATAATTAAGATTAAATTACCTGTTTCTTATTAAATGCCATTGGATGACGCTCTTTTTGGTCATTGACATTTGACGACTATTTAACACCACTTTAACATGAGTAATACACTTAGTGCTTTATTATTAAGTCTATTTTCTTGTCCCTAATACTTGCAACTACTTTTCTTAATTTTTTATGTTTGATAGATCAAGGATATTAGCAAAGCTCTCCCATCTTTACTCTATAGTACATTCTTATATTTTTTTTGACATGGGCCCACAGTTTTCCACTAAAAAACATTAAACAAGTTAAATGGATGCAGGGGAAGTTTTATAGGATGACTTAAGACCAGTCATGCTTTATGAAATAGAATGTTAGGCGGGCAAGGAACAACATATTCATAGAATGAGTGTAGCTGAGATGGATGAGTGGCAAGACTAGAAATGATAGAATTTGGAATGAAGGCATCCAAGGGAACTTAGGGTGACTCGGATGGGCGATAGGATGAGGGAATATAGACTTAGGTGGCCTGACCATGTGCAACGTTGACATAGAACAACACTAGCTAGGAGGGGCAACTTGGTTCAAGTGGAAGGCTCTTAAAGGGCAAGGCAAGGCTTCAAAGACATAGATGGAAGTAGTAAGAAGAGATATAATGACTTATGGTCTGACTCTGACTAAGGTTGTGGCCCTTGATAGATTGAATGGCAAAACAACATTCTTGTATCCAACCCCAAATAGTTGGATAAGACTCAGATGATGATGAAATAGATGCAGCTTGATAACTTTCTTGGGATTCCTCTTTATATGTTGATATCTCCTTTTTGCCCTCAACACTCTCTTCTATTAGACTGGCTACCTTTTATTACTGAATTAGGATGACCCAATTGTCAGTGACACATGGGTAAGCTGTGATGAGGCGAAGACTCACTATGCCCTCGGAGCTGTCCTTGATATCCCATTTGGAGGCGTGTTTTCGGCCTTATCATGGGCATCCGCATTTACTTGATGAAAGTTGATATTCAAGAAGCTAGCTTCCTCAAGTATAGCTTTTGATAATAATCTTCTGAGGACCCTAGTTGCTATGTGAGTTAAACTTGAGATCAAGGTTTCAAAAAATGCTAAGCCGCCAACCTGGCGTCCAGCGCCTGGATGGGTGCCCAGAACCTCGGGTACCCTGTTTTACTTATAGAGTGAGAAATGTGCCTTGGGTGCCACACACCCTCTCTTGTTGGCATGTATTCTGTGTCTTCATTTTACTTTGGAGCTGTTGCATCAAAATAAAATGGGATCCCTATGATTATGAAAACATCAGTGAATTTTCTGGATTATCGGGATCAATCAAACATCATATTGCATCTCTTTGCCAGGTTGAAAAATTGAAAATAAGGGAACTATTGGAATTTGTTTGTTTCTGTTTCACATGTAATGAATTGGCATTTGCCAAAAAATGAGAAAATAAGGAAAATAAAAGAAAAAGGAGAAGTTTTAGAGAATTTATGAAAAAATGAAATATGTGACAATCAAATATTCTAAAAGGTTATTTTTTTGCTCTATTGAAAAATGACAATATCTTCACCATAACAACCATCAAGTCTTTAAGAAAAGGGTGCAGGCACTGGGCGCCTGCCTAGGCTGCCTGGGTGGGCGCCCATGGGTGTCCAGGTACTAGTGCCCAGGCCTAGGCCCTAGGCGCCTTGCATACTGTTTTTTAGAACAATTCTTGTGATATCCTTTTAGAAGGCATTTCTACTTGCCTTCTAATAGGGAATGAAAGATATTTGCTTTAGAGTCCTAGATCAGGAGTACAGTCATTGGGAGGCCACTTCTCTAACATTTGGTGCATGGCATGGTTTACTATATGGTGGGAATTATGCTTGTAGAGGGGGGTTTATGCGCTGCAAAGAGTTCCTATTTCCAATATGTGGACTTGGTTGTGGAAGTATTGTAGCTGGTTCACTTAGTGGGTTGTTTGGTGCATACATGCTTTGGGAAATACCGTGGCTTTTGTGGTTAATGTGGAACAAGGTTGTCAGGCTTAGCTGCCTAGCTTTACTAAACGTGTGATTGTAGCTTGCCTTACCAAATACCCATCAAGGAAAAAAAGGCTTACCTTACCATGTGATTTGGTTTACCATCACATTTGGGTGCCCTGAAGAAGCATATAGTGGGAATTGTGCTTGAGGAGGAGGTTAAATGCACTGCAAGGAGTTCCTATTTTTAATGTGTGGACTTGGTTGTGGAAGTATTGTAGTTATCACTTTGTGGGTTGTTAGGTGCATACACACTTTGGGAATTACTGTGGCTTTTGTGGTTAATGTAGAACAAGGTTGTCAGGCTCAGCTGCCTAGCTTTACTAAACGTGTGATTGTAGCTTGCCTTACCAAGCAAATACCCATAAAGCAAAAAGAAAGGTTTACCTTACCATGTGATTTTGTTTTCCATTATATTTGGGTGCTCTGAAGAAACATTTTTTGGCTTTAGAGGTAGAAACAATTGTTGCTAGGCTAGCCTGTCTGAATGAGCAACTATTCAGGAGAAGTTCAGTAACATTCATTGAATTGTAGGTTTTTTTTTTATGGTTATTTTGGTCCAGTGTTTAAGATTATGGTGGTGGTGATAGCTCCCAAAATGGACACATTCACCGAATTCTGTTGCATTGTGGGTCTTTAGACTCCAGATTTTTCTGACGAGAACCATGTTTGAGCAGCAGTTCATTGGACTGCATTGACCAGCTTTCTGATCTAGTTTAATGGTAGAACTAGTGAAGAGTGGCTCTTTAAAGTTTTAGATTGCAAAGAAGTGAATCTTTTATTTTTCTTTTCACTCTTTCTGTTCTCTTTGTTGATCAGTGACTGTTCATACTGACCTCCCTTTGGTTTGATGGCTGGTTTCATCCTGATTACTTAGTTGCTAAAACATTGGGTGTCTCCTGATCCATGGCCACATCAAATTTAGACTTCAGATTTTGGCTTAAACCCAATTTCCTTATGCTTACTAATTTTTGAAGCTCTAAGAAAAGGTGCTTAAAAAAGAAAGCAAATCTTCCTCAAGGAGATCAGTTTTCTGGAACACTACAAAATTTAACTATACTCAAAGGCTCTTTTCTATGGACTTTTAGACATTCTTGAGTCTAGTCATGTGAGATTGAAGTTTTGAGAGATGACTTTCACATGGTCTTTATTGATCTAGAGAATGCTTATGATAGAGTACCTAGAGATTTGATTTGGTGGGTCTACAGACACTACATCGACTTGTTGAGAGATATGTACGAGGGAGCGCAAACTAATGTGCAAACAATTAGTGGATAGACAAATGAGTTTTTAGTGCCTATAGGTCTACATTAGGGGGTCAACATTGAGCCCTTACCTCTTTGTCTTAGTTATGGACGACTTAACTAGTTACCTACAAGATGAGTTACCGTTGTGTGTTTTATTTGCGGACGACATAGTTTGATCGATGAGATCCGAAACAGTATCAACACAAAGTTAGAACTTGGAGGGATGCTCTAGAATCTAAAGGTTTTAAAATTAGCTGGACTAAGAAAGAGTATATGGAATGCAAGTTAAGTAATAATAGGAATAGAGATGAGGAAGTAGTAAAGATTGACGGCCAAGAAATACCAAAAAGAATATCTTAAGTCGATAATCAAGGAAAATGGAGAGATTGAGGAAGATGTTGCACATAGAATTATAGTTGGGTAAGCGAAGTGGAGATATGAAACCGGAGTTTTATGTGTTCGCCGCATACCAATGAAGCTGAAAGGCAAGTTTTATGGGACAATTGTAACTTTGCTTTATGGGACAAAATGTTGGGCGGTCAAGAAAAACCATACCCAATGTTAAAAAAAGTAGACCGCCCAGCGCCTAGGCGGTCCAAAAGGCATGGGCGCACTGCCCAGGCCTAGGCGATTAACGTGGTCGGCAGTCCCTGGGTGGTCGCCTAGGGGCGGATTTTTTTCTTTGGTTTTATTGGTTTTTTTTGAAACATAAAGGCTTTTAAGGATGGGTTTTAGGTCCATTTGAAACCTAAACCCACAAGAACCCATTTTAGAGAGAGTGAAACTTCAAAGAAATCATTGGATCAAAGTGTTTCTCAAAGTTACGAAAAACGGATCCAAACATCACCCAAGTAGAATAGATTTAGTTTTGAAGTTTTATAATCCTATTGCAGGGTGTTTTTGATTATTTTAGCACCTGAAAACATCTAAGAGGTGGGAGTTTGGAGTTCGAGCAATTAAAGTAAGTGCAAAACTTTATTTTTTTAGATTGCTTGCTTTATTTTGAGATGCCTTCTTCAGGATCTAGTCGATGTGGAGATCCGGGTTGGAAATATAGATATAACCCGAACTCAAATGACAAATATTGCATTAGATGCACCTATTGTGAAAAAGATACAAAAGGGGGTATAAACCAGTTTAAGAAACATCTTGTTGGTATTAAGGGGGATGTTTCCCCTTGTGAAAATGTTCTTGAAGCTATCAGAGAGGAGATTAAGCAATATATGAGTTATGTAAAACTAAAATAGGAACACAATCCTTGTCATTTGAATAGATCTATTTTTTCTTCTTCTAGAAGAAGTGATCCGGGTTGGAAGTATGGTTATAACCCAAACCAAACGATAAAAATTGTATAAGGTGTAATTTTTGTGAAAAAAATACCAATGGGGGTATTAACTGATTCAAGAAACACCTTGCTGGTATTAAAGGGAATGTTGCTTCTTGTAAAAAGGTTCCTGAAGCTATTCAGAATGAGCCTTGTTCACTAGATAATGATGGAAATGAGCCTTGTTCTATGGAAATATCTTCTCCAGGTTCTTCTAGAAGTGGTGATCTAGGTTGGAAGTATGGTAACTCGAATCCGAATGACAAAAATCGTATTAAATGTAATTATTGTGGAAAGGATACTAATGGGGCATTTACCGGTTTAAAAAACACCTTGCCGGTATTAAAAAGGATGTTGTTCCGTGTAAAAATGTTTCTGAGGCTACCAGGGAGGAGATTATACAATATTTGAGTTTAGGGAAGCATAAAAAGATAGAAAAGGGTAGAGCAGCCAAGACTCTTAGGGCCTCATCCTGCACATACTAGTAAGAGGGAGGTAGAAGAAGAGGAGGAAGATGCAGATTCAGAAGAAACAAAGAAGGACGAGCCTTATATTGAAGAGGGAGATGACTCTGATGATGATGGCCTCAAATCTAATGCATATGATGAGCTTACCCTATTCTTTCTGATGATGATGATGATGACTGAAGACTCTTGGTGTTGAGTGTTGAGTGTTGACTATTGTGCCCTAGACTGTATATTTTCTAAATTTCTATATATTTTTTCTTTTATTTTTAGTTTCTACTTTCTAGTTTCTAGTTCTAGTATCTAACTTTTATATGTAATCTATAGTGTATCAGACTATCAATTTATGCTTGTATGGTTTTACTGTTTTAGGCTTTTAGCATTGTATGAAAATATGGATTATGGTCTTATCAATTATCAAAATTTTCTTCTCGACTTCTATCTTTTTTTTTTTCAATTGGGATTATGGTCTTATGGATTATCAAAATTCTTATGGCTTATAAGAATCAGACTATCTTTTTTTTTTTTCAACTGGGCCGCCCAGGTTTTGGGCGCCCTCCTAGGCACTGGGCGGCCTGGACCCCCATGGCCTCCTGGGTGCTATCTAGCGCTTTTTGAAACTATAAACATACCTATAGGATGAGTATAGTTGAGATGAGGATGTTGAGATGGATGAGTTGCAAGTCAAGAAGGGATAGACTTTGAAATGAATTCATTCAGGAAAATTAGGTGTGGCACCAATAGGTGATAAGATGAGAGAAAGTAGAATTAGATGGGTGGCCATGTACAGTGCAGGCCCATTACAACACCTGTTAGGAGGAGCGAGTTCAAGCGGAAGGCCCAAAAGGACGTGGTTGGAAGTAGTGAAAAAGATATGAGGACTTATAGCCTCATTGGGGCCATTGCCCTTGATAGAGCAGAATGGTGGATCAGGATTCATGTAGCCACCCCAATTAGTTGGGAAAAGGCTTTGATGATAATGATGATTCAGTTTGGACAAGAACTAGGCTTCTAGTTACATGGTTTTAAACAAAATGAGCATATTTTAATCAATTGGAGGGTACACTAAATATTTATTTACACAATTTGTTTACCATTATGCCTTTTTATATCCGAATGGGCTTGTGCATTCGTCTCGAAACATTTTGCAACAAACATCATGAGTTGAACCAGGACTTCACAATCTTGTTTAATGCCTATTTTAAATTTTGTTGCTCATTTCCCTAGGAAAGCATGCTACAACTCAATTTGATGGAAAGACATTGGCCATATAGGCCATTACCATCCAATGAAATGGTGGATGGCGAACCAACCAGAACAGGGGAAGGTCCTTGTGTTCGGTCCAGCTTTATCTATCACGACCATCATTTCATTTGATGATGACCCTTTGATCTTCTAATAGTATGTGGCTCATAGTAGACTTTTGCAATTGGCCCAAGCTTTTTTTTTTTTTTGAAGATGTTAACCTTTGTATTACTAGAAGGGTAATAATACAAAAAATGTGCTGCCGTGGCCCGGGTGCTATGAATACTAAAAATGGGCTCCCCACGTCTGGGAGCACTGTACAAAAGGACCCCGAGGGTGGTAAAACTACAGAGTGGGGGGGGGGGGGGGGGGGCTCAAGAGTAGGGAATGGACTGAGACTGCAAAAAATTGTCAAGTTCCAAGAATTTCCTGATCCTCTAGAACATATTTAATTCTGGGCAAGGTCCTTGTACATTTTGATAAGCAGCCACTTTATGGGAATTGTCATGGCCTTATACTGTTGAATATTGAGTATTTGGTTATTACAGGGTATTAATCTCCCTTTTTCCCCATTTTGTGCTCTTTTTCTCCAGTTGGTGTCGCTGATGTGACCGCTGCCACTGTGGGTGGAACTCTTGAAAGTGGAAAGAAAAAAGTATTGCTTCTGAAAGGGAAGGATAGAGAAGCTTCACAGGTTAAAAGCATTTACATTTTTATTTATGTTTTTCAAATTTCTTGTAGTACTTTCATGTTGATATATAATATTAACCTTGCATTAGTCTGTGTTAGTACCATGATTCTTCTGCTACCTGGCGAACCCAGCTTTCAGTTTTTCTTTGATAACGTCTAATGAAGTGTGCTAATCTAATGAAAACTAAATGATAAAAAGAATGGACTATGGGAAACCAGGGTTTAAAATTCTTTGTCCAATGAAGTGATGGATGGTGGAGGAGAGGGAGTTTGACCCACCATTGGGGCCATCTCTCTCTCTCACACACATTTTTTGGTAATGACCCCACCAATGGTCAATGATTTTTCCTTACTCCACTGTATTCAAGTGTATTTCTCTAAAGTCTAAATCTTTTTAAAAGTGGGAGCCCACATGTTAAAACATTACTTCTGACTCCCAAATTTGCCAACCTTTCCTACTTTCATGTTCTAAATAAACTTAATTCGTACCATGGATGACCTTCTAAGACCATTAAGTATTATTTTCCCTGCTCTATTAGGCATCAGGCAGTGTAGTACAGCAGCAAACAGTTTCATCTCCAATCAGGAATTTGTCTGGTTCAGCACCCTTCAGACAAAGCCAACGCAGGGACGGCAATTCAAGAATGGTCAAGAGCATACTTTCGAACAAGGATGGACGACAGGTTCCGGCACATGTACTAACCCAAACAGAGCAGCAGTTGCAGGGGTTGAGTTTAGAAAAAGACAAGCGCCCACCCCGCCCCAATTCCACACGTTTAGCTTCAAAAGACCATCTGTCTGGTTACCTGATGCCCACTTCTATGTCTGATTCTGATCCCAAAAAGGCCTTGGATCAGAAGATAACTGGGAATGATTCTTATGGCCTTGTTCCTGCAAATGAGAAGCAAGAGAAACGTACTAGAAATAAGGACAGGCCCGATCGTGCTGTGTGGACTCCACTTCGCCGGTCAGATGGAATCCACACCGTTGATGAATCGCAGATGACATCTGATTCATTGGAAAAGTTATCTAATGCTCAAGAGCTAAAGCTTGGGGATGATACTGAGGAATGTGATGGTTTGGGCTCTAATGCATCTTCATCTATGGGGAAATCTCGTACTTCAGATTTGGGTTATCATAATTCTCGCTCTGGGCGTGGTGCTTCTTCATCTTCCTCTGAGCATTCCCTGAATCAGGGGGATACAAAATTTGATACATCTAGTGCAAGCAGGAGCTTAGAAATGAAAACCCAAGGAACTGGGCGCAGCAGTACTGTATCAGTAGAAAATGGTGCGCATTCTTCTAATTTGTTTTCATTAGTCAGGTGCCAATGGTTTACCTGCAAATTCCATGTATTTTTCGACTTATATTCAGTGATTATGTGAATTTCCTGTATATTTTTCTCTTCAACGTCAGTAGCTTTGACTGGGAGTTATTCTGAAATGTTTTATTCTTCAATGATGTCCAGCAAAAGAGTAATGCCAAGAAATGAATATTCTTCAAGTGAATTGTGTTCTCCTTCATCATTTTGCCAGTTGGCCTTGTCTTCTTCCCAGTCTTCTTTTACCTGTTATTCACCTTTCCGTCCTCCCAAATTTTTATGAAAATGATCAATTCATCCGTTCTTATACATTGAATGCTTCTTAAAGATAATCCTGAATGGGATAATTCATGAATATGGGCAAAAAGGATTTTTTTAATAATTGGTGGTGTAGCATGTTTTGGGATTTTTCAAACAAGCAGGGGTGTCTCACTGGCTTACACATGAATATTTCGAGGAATCTATCCTGATCACTCTTCATGAATGGGTAGGGGAGAGAGAATGGGATCATTCATGGCTTAATGGTATTTCCACACCGGCCTAAGAGTTATTTGCATTCTTACCTATTCTGCTGAAAAAAAATTCTCAGAAAGAGCCATGGCTGACCTTTCCAATAGTGACAGTTGCTTTCCAACTTTTTCTTTTTGAGATTAGTGATGAGAGTTTAATGCCCCCATTATTCTTTGTCACTGAAAAAATATTCCCGGCTGGGTAAACATATTTCTCTTATTTTCTCTTTATGCTTTTTTCTTGCTTTCACCATATTTGTTTGTGCAATATTTCTTGGAAAACATTGTTAGGTTGGTTTCCTCTGAGGTATATTCGTTTCTTAAGAGCCATTTGGGTACACAAGAGGGTTTCATGAGAATATGCATTATGCTAGTACCGCTACTAAATTGCTGATCTCATCTTTAGGTTCACATAGACATGCTGGTCGCCGATCATCATCAACTGGATTGAAGGATGCAGATGGTTCGATGAACTTGCCAGATGGAAAGCCTGTTAAGAGAGGAGGCATTCCAAGCTATGGAGCCCATGAGGTGAAATAAAAAGATTATTGTATCCTATTTATGTCTCATTTTACTTTAATAAAGATTGGGTACATCTAACAAAAAGATTACTTCATGTGCAGAAGCAAATTTGGGTTCAGAAGTCAGGAACAGGTACCTAGTGCATCTTAAAAAGGTAAGATCCATTTCTCCTTTTTGTTTTATTTTCTGTCAATAGGAAGATGATTATGCATTGTATAAATAACTCTATTCAGAATGAATCTGTAGAGTGAATCAAGGAGTGCACTTCTTAAGGTGGCCCATAATGCTTACTTTACCAACGAGAAAATACTTTTAGCCTTTGTCTTATGATTTATCATGCTATCCCGAGTTTTCCTAAAACATTTAGTATATTACATTTTTTTTGGAGAAAGTTGACTTCAAAAATTGTGAAAAACAGAACAGTTTAGTACACATTTTATCCTAATTTATGTAAGGACACAGTTTCTATGAGTCCATGTAGAAATCAATCACCTCTTAAAAATCTACTTTTGAGATGGATTTTTGGCCCTCATTTTTAAGGACATGTAATTTCTGATATGGAGATCATGAATATGAAAAAATAAATAAATTTTAAAAATTAGAAATAATAATTCTATTAAGAAAACATTTGGACCATTCATTTCAAGTGTTTTTAGATGGACCACCTATGTGCATCCATGATTAAGATGGATGCTTTATACCTCAGGAACCGCAAATGTAGAAATGCAGTCGCTGCTGCATGAAGCAATTTTCCTTATAGAATGGATGCTGCATACCTTGATACTTTCGTAAAAAAAGATATAACAATAGCATGGGGAGAGAGAGAGATTTGGGGCTTAATGGGCAGCTGAGTTTTACAGAAGCGGGTTTTGGAAATATCTGAAGTCCGAATGATTGTAGAATGGAAGTTCTTGACTGTCTTAGATATTAAAGGTGTATTACCGTGGCTCACAAATCTCATTCAACTGGAGTTCTAGAGGACCAATATTTAGGAGACTTGATATGTTTAAAAATTAATGTACTGGTTTTAACACTGCATGCAATGCTTTAGATGCATCTTTACAAGCAAAATAAAAGATTAATGGCAGTTTCCTTTACCTACTCTCTCTCTCTCTCTCTCTCTCTCTCTCTCTCTCTCTCTAATACACACACAAGCAGAGACTTGGAGCTTACACTCATTTCGTAATTAATGTGGAACTTGTGGGTTTGTAATGTTATTTAATTTTGTATGCATAAAGAATTATCTCAGCTGACTCTTTTTCTTTCCTTATATGACTCTGGATATGACTTTCCATTTCAGGATGATAAATCCAATGTGACATCATTTTGGTGTCTGGATATCATTATACCATCAAGTTTTGGGTTTGTGACCAGTCACAACCGGTTTCTTTTGTCAACCAAGATACTCTCAGCTGCCACATATACCCATCTCTCTTTCTCTCTCAGGCATATCCCACTGGTGAGTACAAGAGGAGCAAAAAGTTTTAGCCGCTATTTTCTCACTCGACTGAGCTCTGTAAAGAATCTATCGATGTAGAACATTGAGAAGGCAGCTTTTTGCAAGACTATACAGGCGATGGAATATCTTAGATGGTTCTCTCTCTAAAGCCAATTTTTCAGAGTCATCAGTTTGGAAATGGGAACAAAATATTCAGTTATCCTTTCAGCTGCCCGAAGTTCATTGACCCCCAAAGATCAAAGGCAAAAAGAACATGAAAATCTTTAAGTTCGTATCTGACCATACAAATATTTGGGGATATTCTAGTTGGGTGGTGTAAATGTATAGAGAAGCAGGTTTATTCTTATCAAGTCGGCATGTCTCATGAGGCTTGGGTATTTTGAGTATTTTGTTCTCATCTTAGGCATGCCAAAGCCCTGTGTATATGCTGGGTGAATCCTCTTTTGCACCCAACTGTTTATAGTTCCAGGTTGAAAAGCCCTTAAAAATACAGTTGAAAGGAAGATTATGCGAATAAGCGTGCAGCGAGAGTTGAGAACTGGCGAGGGATCAGTTGCTGTTTTAGAGTGAGAAGACGGGGGGCTTGGATTGGCCGGCTAGTTAGTAGTAGAAGGGGGAGGGGACCGAAGTGTGAGATGAGTTGTTTTGGTTTGGGTTGTTTTTGGTGTTTCTGAAATCAAGATGTGATCACTTAATGATATCGAATATGTTTTGCAGGTTCTACTGTATATTTTTATCAGAGAACCTGAATTTGCTGATGTTAGGGTCCCTAACCTGTTGGGCTTTTTCTATAATACGTCTTGGGATTGGCGCACATCTCTCTCTGCATTGTGTGGTGTTTTCTTGTTTATTTCTGTTGCTTTTGTATTGTTTATGGCAGGCTGTGTAGGACTGCATAAAGAACTCACACTTCTCGGATTCAATTCGAGTTGGTTGAGAACCCCACTGAAAACCTTGCAACCATCTCTCTCTCTCTCACCTGTGCCCACTTTGCTTTGTCTATGTTCCACCTGTGCCCACTTTGCTTTGTCAATTTCTGTTGCTTTTGTATTGTTTATGGAAGGGTGCGTGGGCTTCTTGGATTCAATTCGAGTTGGTTGAGAACCCGACTGAAAACCTTAGCAACCATCTCTCTCTCTCTCTCTCTCTCTCTCTCTCTCACCTGTGCCCACTTTACTTTGTCTATGTTCCATTCTATCAGCTCCTCAGCCTCCCAATGGCGATGATGGACAGTTGAAGTGAGGAGTCCTTGTTCTTAAGTTTATATCATCGATCATGTTTTATGCTTGTTTGGACATGCCTTTATAAAAACCAGTGATACTGTGCCTGTTCACCTGGCAATATTTGGTCAGCTCCTGGTATTCCTGGGTAAGGGTCCCCTTATTTTGAAGGGGTTACTGTTTAGGCGTGTCTGGGAATGTCCCTATTGCATTTGAGTTCACACTCTCAAAATCAATCTTGGAGATGGATTTTGGGTACAAAATTTTGGCAGATCTAGACCACTATAATAATGCCTCCTGCAAATACGAACATTTAATTTTGGACTGCTAGGGTTCACTCTTCAAAGTTTTTCGTGTTTGGGAGCTCCAAATTCATCGATCTGATGCGGAAGGGGATTCATAATGGTTTGGGATGCGTTTGAAGTCCTCAATGTGAAACTTTAGAAAACATCTTTATTCATTAGTAGTCCCTTTTCTAGATTCAAATGGGGCCTTATTTGATGGAAATACAGGAGCATTCAAATGGTATCTTAGTAAGTAGCTAGCTGAATTTCAGTCCTTTGGGACATCAAAACACATCGTTAAATTATATATGGTCCATCACCAAGTTCATACTCCAAAAGAATTTTTTTTGAACTTTGTGACGCATTCAAGCTTTTAAATTTCACATCGAATGATTGTAAGTAATTATGTCCACTTTGTATTAAAGATAAATGATCTCATTGTATACAATCCCCTTAATGCTTGATATAGAACTTATTAAATGTTGCATTCATTACCTTTTGTTTTTAGCTTGTTTCCATGTATATAAATGAGCACTTTTGTTTTTTTTTCTTTTTTCCTTTCTTCTTTTGTCTCCTTTTTTTTTAATGTTAATGTACAACGGGCAATGGATTCTAGGCAAAAGCTGTCAGGGTGGAGTGCCACACACATCTAGATTTCTCCTCGCCAAGTCTCAAGTTTATCATTAAAAAAAGAAAATTCATCAAAATATCTATAAGACATGAGCTATTCAATAGTTTATTCTTTTGGAACTATTACAAGGTCGTGTTTTTTTATGGGTATTTTGAAATTAAATAAAAAATATAGGTAAAGTGTTAACAATTTTTATAGGTATTTTGAAATCAAATAAAAAATATAGGTAAAGTGTTAAATTGTTAACCTCTTAGATAAATTTCCCTCAATATAATGTTAACATGTAACCAGGGGCACTTTATTCCAAACTTCTTTATAGGCTTTAAGTTGTAATTTCGACAAACAAGAGAAAATGGATTACAAGTTATATTTCATATTTTTCTCTTCTGAAAAATGGTTTTGTACTCTACTTCTATATAATTTTTATATATTTTATCCTCTAAAAAATGGTCCTATACTCTTACTCGTATATAATTTTCATATTTTTTTCCTCTAAAAAATGGATCTATACTCCTAAATTTACATTTATATGATTTCCACTTTTTTTTATTGGTACTTCTCTGCTGCCCTTATTTGTTAGTAGTTCTTTAAATGTAATAGTTGCAAAGTTCCACACCACTTTTTTTTTTTTTATATATATATGAATTTTTTGTCCTTCTACTTTATTCTCATGGAAATGGTTGCCACAACCATGGGCACCAAAATAAGAGCTCCCAACATATAAGCCAACCCATCAAATTGTTTCTTTCACAATATGATTGGAAAATGACTACAAGTTTCCAGTGCCTGAAAACTTAATCGCTCTATTTTGCACCTCAGATCCCAAATGTTCCACAACTACACTTCAACAGATTACTGAAGGGCATTTGTTGGTAATAGATGGGCAATCTAGGGGAATGGGGTCATATAGTTGTAGGGGAATGGTGATTTTTGGTCTAAAATTCTGCACATCTTTCACTTGAAAAGATAAATAATTTCCAAATACAAAAAGTTGATTTTGAGTTTCTAAATACCTCCATCCATTTGGTGGATGAATCGTTCTAACAAAAAATTTCGGAATCAATTTCTCCCCCTTTTTTTTGTCCAAGTTCATTTTATTCTTTTGGTCACTAAGATGAGACTCACACTTGTGCAAAATTTAGAATCCAACTGACTCCTATCCCTAAGCAATATACCCAATACCTCCCACAAATAGCAAAATAAATTTATTGCAAAAAATGGCAAAAATACCCTCATATTACTTGTATCTCGAAATGAAGCAATAATTTACATGAAAAGTTGTACACTAAGGTAGTTGGGCAATCTCGAGTAGGACCTTGTGTAATGACTGAGGCTTAGAGAAGAAGGGGCAATGATCACTACCCTTCAGCTTGTACACACCCTCTGGTGGGTTTTCTCTCACTAACTTCTCTTGAATGTCTGATGAGAGAGCTCGGTCCTCAAGTGTTTGCACATAGAAGCGGCGTGCATTCCCGTACTTTTCAGGTGTCAAAGAGAGGCTCTCCATTATAGGTTTCAATGGTATGGGGCGCATGGACACAGCTGCTAAGGCAACATCCTGTCATACCCAAGTCTTCCAACCTTAGCAAAGAAATCATGCATAGGAGCTTAGAATAAAATCTCTCTCTCTCTCTCACATATGGCATCAACATCATCAACAATAGAGAGGTGTGTGATAAGGGAGTGGGCTCAAATTCTGATTGAAGGTCCACGTGTAAATAGATGCCTAACTTGGGCAGGATAATCAACAAAAATTGTGGAATCACGAGGAATAATCTGGTTTCTAGGGACTTGCTCCTTCACTTCAATTCTCAGTAATACAGAGTGAGCTATCACTCCTCAGGTTAGAGTTGGCAATTACTTTCAAGTAAATTCTCTGAGGAAAGAAAGAGTAGAGATGGAAGCATGTTGAAAGTGTCATAAGCAAATCAATCCAGAACATCCAGCTTTATACAAACACAAGCTAAGGAACTCAAAATGAATAAGGGAAAACATACTAAAAACCAATGAAGTATGGTTGCATAGCTACCCTTGCTTCAACAGGCCTCATGAACAAGGCAAGTATGCCATAATCCAATCGACTAAGGAAACCGTAATCCATCAGGGTCATCACCATCCAATGACATGCACATTGATGGAAAGTTTGGAACTCAGCATAGGAATCATACTCCCTCTCTCTCTCTCTCATTTTGGTTGAGGATGATGACTAAAGGCCACTACAATCAGGAAAGAAATTCAGTAAAAATTTCAAACAGGACAAAGATGAATCCAATTTGAAAATCTGATACTAGTCCCACAACCAGAAGTGGTATTATTTTTAAGTATGAACTCTTAGGGCGTGCTTGTTTTCTAGAAGATGCAATTTTGGAGATCCATCTTCCAGTATTGTAGCACTTCCCTACTTGATAACAGGGAATTGTTATACTAAAGTGATACTGCAGTATCGACTTACATTATATTTAAAGTTAAAAAGTGGATACTGCAACTTCAATGAGTGGCCATGGAACTTGAGGGATCCAGTTCCTTGGAAGACAGTTTCCAAAACTGTCTTCGAAAAGACAAACACGCCCTTAGGAATTGGAGCAATACTATCTGAAACTATGGTAGAATCCATGGTTTCAAAAATTGGCTGAGTAACTCGGCCTCGTCCTATGGGTGAGGCGAGTTTTAGCCGAGTAGGTTGTACAGAATTTTTTAAACTTCAAATATATTATCACGTCAACTTTATTTCAGCTGCGCTTGAATGTTTTATTGGATAGCTCTACCGGTAAGTTTTGCCCTAGTGGAGGTTCGATTTCTACGCTTGTCACTTTTTAAAGACATCCTTTTTTAATAGTTCCAAAATCTATTTTTTTGAGTTCCAAAAAAAAATCGGTCGTCCCCGAGAATGGATGTCGAGACGTCTTTAGAAGAGGTCCTTTATGAACAGGATACTAACCAACATGCTCGCTTGCAAGGTTCTGTATCAAGATGGCACTACTAATATATATAATAACGTTTGCTTTCCATTTTCTATATAAAAAAGAAGAGCTGGACTCAGGCGAGTTACTCGGACTCGCCCGATTAAATCGCCTCGGCCAGGTCTTGAGTACCTTGGCCGAGTCAATTTTTTTAATACTAATAGAATCCAACAAATTTGGCAGGACAAGTTTTAAAATCTAGGATCACCAAATTTCCCCTCAAGGGCATATTTGTATGAAAAAATGTATAATAAAGATTGTGAATGGAAAAGATAATTACAATGTGCAGAGAGGTTTAAAAATAAGATGCAACGATACTACTAGAAAAGGGATGCAGTCAAGCACTCTGCCAGACATTAAACAATGATAAGTGCATGAATAATAACCTTCTATCAATCATAAATTTCATCTTATTCATATCTAGTATTTGTTAATATGGTCGATAGGATACATCATAATTGGAGAACAATAAATAGAAATTCATCGTTGAATGAACCATCAATATGCCCAACTTTCAAACAATTCAAAAATCCCAACTTAGCTATATTACAATAGAATAGCTCAACAACTAAATGAGTTATTTTGAACATCCCATTAAGTACATATGCCTGAGATGCAGAGTCCTTATGGATAAATAATTCAGTAACAGTTAAAGAAATTAATTTGAAAAATGATTATCCCTACAATGATTTATAACCAATCTAACCCAAACATATAAGACCTTGACAAAGCAGTACTCTTTTAACACTAATTCAAAATCCTAAAAACAACTGTAATTGCTTAACACTCAAAAGCGTGCCAAAATTTGACACTTACTGACAAAATTTGGGCAGGGAACATATAAAAAGAAATATGACCAATAATATACCTTAGCTGGACTCTGATTGAAATATAGCTTGTTGATTTGGTTTTTTTCAAGCTTGAGACCCGTTGGAGATCTGTCTTTGCCATTACCATACATGAGAAGTTGTGATTCCTTCATAAAAACCTCAGCAGAAATCAACTGCAAATTGTAAATGCCTCGTATGAGGTAGGAAGGTGGGATAAGGCATCAATGTACACATAACCAGTGATTACAACAATCCAAACTATTGATATTTTCCCTATGGAATATCTAAAGTAATAAAGTACCTCATCCGTGAACACATCAAATGGCCGCTGCCCATGTCTGACCATTGTGGCACTTAAGTAAATTGCTTTTGAAATTTTTTTCGGGTAATGCTCAAGAGCATATGATAAGCATGCCCCAGCACAACTGTGACCAACAACAATAACCTGTGGAAAAATATCATTCATAATGTAAACATGTAAAGGAGATGGGTACCATAATCAAAATGACCAGAGAATACTACTAAGACACAACAATCCAATAGATTATGGAAAAAAGAATATGCCATCAGGGTCACTGTCCACAGGAGAAAGTGGGACCCACCAAAAATTGTCATGCAGACAATGGTCAGCCCTGTGGAATGGTTACCAATGGTCCATAGGTTATATTATACTCATATGTAAATTGACTACTAATTCGTGAGGTTGAGGACATGGTTTTCATCAGTTGAGGCTCACCTTCTCATTTTCAGGGAGACTCTTTAAAAAATTAGTCAAAGGACTTGCATATTCTGCCAGTGTTGTGATACCATTTGTGTCTGTATGGTCAATTCCTGACCCAGAAAGATCTAATGCAATGGGATGAAATCCTGCCTCCTCCAATAGAGAAATCGACTTGTACCAACACCATGCTCCAAACCCTTCTCCATGAACTAGAACAAATTTTTTTGTTTCCAAATTATCTAGAACATCTGAGGACTGTGAAAATACAATGCCAAAATCAGAAAGACATAAAATCACCTATGTAATTTTTTGATATATTTAACCACCTATATATTATACAAGTGCTACATACAATAAACAATTTATGTATAAAACTATAGAACAATGCGAGAAGCAAAATAGTGGAAGTATAAACGCTTTGATAGAAACTAAATGACTGAAACCCAAATGCAAATCTTTCCGTGTCAACAATCCTTCTTGACATATACATAAGCCATTTCCTTGTGCATTTAAATTTATTGACTACCAAACATGAGTTTTGCTCTTCAGAGGACATCTACAACAGCATTTAGTAGTGAGTTTCATGTACATACAAACCACCACTCAATTTAACTAATCCATATAACAACTGCCAATACAACAGATGCATTGATAATAGGAAATGAGCAGTAGCTAAATTCAAAATTTTCACTATCTTCTCCTGTAAGCATTTTACTATCCAAAACAGTACTCTATCTACACCAAAAACACCTAAGAACCAACCCAACCCCCACCCCTGCAACAATCACACACATGCACACAAACATTTCTAGCTCTATAAATGCAACAGACCCACCAATTCTTGTTTCTAGGCAATAGCAAGAGGCGGATAATTTATCAAATCACACCAAGAGATCAACTATTTAACTTTCAGCCAAGGTGTGATTTGATAATTTCCCAAGAAATTTATGATTTGTACTTTGATGGGCTATTTGAAATTTGATCAAAAGAATGATGAGCTCCTTTGAAATTTGATGTTATATAGTTCAACTCTTAGGTGTGAATTGAAATATTTTCCCACATGGAATTACTTCTTGCAATATCCATATGAATCAGCCTCATATCGGAACTTTAAACTTTCTCTACCTCCAGTTTTACTCCAAGCATGAAAGATTGTACACATGAATCATTGCATGATGAATAAAGATTATTGTATTACAGCAATAGTAGATAAGCAATTACTTTTGTTATGGTTTACGTATTTCACCTTTATTGGATTTTATTGATACCATAATTGGTTAATGAGGATATTGTGGCCATTGACACTTTGTGGCATATGCATATGCATAGCCTTTTACTTTCAGTAAGTTGTCAATATTAGATTCACAAATGGTGTTCTTCAAATGATCTCATGATTTCCACATGCAGTGTTGACATGATATCACAGCTAAATTGAGGACACAGGTTCCAACTCCCAAACCTTTTAACTATGAATAATAAATAAAGGTCAGCATATCACAGAAGCATGATGAATAGTGCATAACATGTTACTTTTAGTGTACAAAGGTAGTTTACATGTTTCGCCCATATTGGATTTTATTGATACCAAACTTGGTTATTGAGGCTATTGCGGCCATCGGCACTTTCTTTACATGCATGTGCGTGGTGTTTTCTTTTAATAAGTTAGTTGTATTGTATTTATAATTGGTGCTACTGAGATGCTTTTGTGATTTCCACATGCAGAATTAACATGGTATCATATCTGAATTGAGGGACTCAGGTTTCAATTCCTATGAGGTCACAGAATCTAGTCACCACAAGATTCACAACTTTCACCACCATTGGAGTGGTTTCTTCATTGTTGCATACTAAGGCCATTGCATGTATGTGCTCTTCCACCATCCAGTGAAGATGATCTTTAAAGATTACACAAAATGATACTCCTAAGTTTTGGAGTTCACAGAAAGCACTCGAAGGAAACGTAACTATGTTTTACTCAGTTCAAAATATTTAGAATCATATATAAACTCCCAATATTATGACAATGATTTCCATATTTTAGTAACTTTTCCTCTGTGTTAAATATTTTAAACTCTTAATTTTTTTAAGTAATAAGTTTTTTAACTATGCTTACAAGTAATGCACAAGTAATGCCTACTCAAACTTATTTTATATTAATGTTTATTGGAAGAGTCAGCACTCAGTCTCGGCTTTTACCAAGGACAACTTGATCATGAGCAAAGCTCTTCATAGCATATCTAACAATCACACTTAAAACCCCACTGAAAACAAATTTCTTCAAGTAATAAATACAGCTAAATTTTCATGGGATATACCTTTGTCAAAAATAGGATCCATGGAACTCACTATAGAGTGTTCAACGAAAACAATAAGGGTTTAGGTAGAAGGTAAGAGAAAGCCATTAAAATGTAAATACGGTGTGGAGGAAGGAATGATGCACAGCAAAGCCAATACTGTGATTCACCCAATTACTTGATGATTTCAACCACCACCCTTGCTCATCAGAAGCACCTAGAGATAAAATATTCAAAGAAATGGCAATTTTACAATCGCTAGGAGTTCAGAGCGCTGCATGGCATTTCTTAAACAATTAGAACACAATTTATTGGATATTGCATTTTTTGATCATCCTCATCTTGATACAACAAAGAGAGCACCACCCATAAGAAGCATAAATGGGCATTAAATTGTATATTTATGTTCCTTGGTTTACTCCATGTTCATTGTAAGAGTAATTGTGCTTCCCGCCTTCATGCAAAACAACTGTTTTCAGCCTATTTCTTGACTAGAGATGAAACTCAACCATATTGTTGAGTTTAGGACCAGGCAACCCAAAATGCACTACCATATATTGGTGTTTGTTTCCATATAAAAAAGAACAAATAAGCAATTGGCTAATTAGTCCAATACCCACCAACATGACCCATTAACAAGTGCCATGAGACCTTATTGTGATGATGATGTGTAATAATGCAATACTTCATGCTTGAAAGGAACACATGAATTTTCCCATGTCAGTACTTGGAGAAGTGTCTCAGGAGATTTCAAGGAATATAACTGGATATCAGCATGGATTTTACTATAAAATACATTTATTTTTTTCTTTTTCTTTTTCCTTTAAGTTGCATGGTGTCCATTATGGATTTCTGCTCTGAGTAATTTTTATTCCTTTACCCCAGCAGAGACATGGCTCAATTGGACATGACCTCAAAGTTACAAGCGGCGACTTTGAGGCCACCGATTTCAAGCCAACTTATGAATAAGAAAGAAAATAAAAAACTTGTACTAGCTATTATCATTTGATCAAACTATCAAAGAGCATAAAGATGATAAGAAGGCCTGATTTTTGTTTAATGTCAACAGAGTTAGGCCTCTCAAAAGAGAAGCAAGTTACTCATAAGACACTCACTCTGATGATCACTTTTGCAAGACCTACTTTTTCATGGGACCCAAGGACTCCAAATCCCCAAAGCCACTATCTCAAGCTCATAGAAACAATCACAGAAAGCATAAAGCTTGAATTTTTTTGCACAAAAGCAATCATTCCTGTCCCCCTCTTGAGAATTATGGTTGTAAAGCTCCAAATATGAATATATTGAATTCAGGGTTAACTGGCATCATAATTCCCAAAAAACCCATATGGAATCATGTGAAATATTTTAAGAAGAAACATAAAGCACAAGAAAAACCCCATCTTCAAAAGTCCTTTTTTTCCTACACAAAAAGCAATACACAACGCCAAAAGATGAGATGCCAAATTATAACTGATGAACAACCACAAAAAGCAGAGGCTATCATGCCCATGTCTCAGTGTCAATAGAAAAACAGAGAGAGAGAGAGAGAGAGAGAGAGAGAGAGAGAGAGCGAGAGAGCAGAGAGAGAGAGAGAGAGAGAGAGAGAGAGAGAGAGAGAGAGAGAGAAGAGAGAGAGGGAGGAGGGAGGAGGAGAAGAAGAAAATAGTATAGTATAGTATTCTACTACTACGTTACTAGTAGAGAAGTACGTTAGAGAGTAGTTCGGCGT